AGATTCCTAAATCAACCCAATCACCTTGACTTCCTTCCTGGCCTGTGCACAGCAGCAGAGCACTGCTACAGGAGAAGTATGCCACCTGCCTCAGCTGAGTCCCAGACAGCTTATGCCACAGTGAACGTACTTCCAGTCAGCTTTCTCTGCCTGCCTCCTTCACTAACATAACATAACAACCCTTCACAACTGTTCTTGAGCCTCCCTACCTGTCACTGCCAGAGGCCCTGCTACGCCGTCTAAGTGGTATGACAAGGAAGCACAGCTGACATCTGGAGGGATAACTACAAATCAGCAAACACCAAAGAGCAGGGAAAAGTAAAACTGTGAAGTAGATAAAACAAAAAAGTAGCAGCACAATTTATCATAGGAACAGACCACACATGTGACCCTTCTGTAATAGCCAGAGAAAGTCCACTGAGCTCTAGTGAACCTCACCCAGCATACTACCTGTGTGTGCTCAGTACTCATCCACACTCCTGATCGACTGTAGAAATACTTTAATTACAGTGGTGAGAGGAAGACCCATTGTATCATCATTTCTTATGTTCAAGAATGAATACATTAAATATATTCAGTGTTTCTGGACTCCAGTGAATGGACACTGACATATATTACCCTATTAGTCAGAATGCAGTCTTATAAGTCCATTTTTAAAAATCAAACTGACCATTTAAAACTGACCATTTCTGCCATTCAAGATGAAGAAAATCACTACCATGATTTGAAACGAAGGTGATCGCTCGGCTGGTTTTTTGCATACTGCAGTCACAGTACAATTCTACACTCGATCAAGAAAAACAAATATTAAAGAAAACTGAGAGGGTTTCTGATCTCTAATCATACACTAGCTAAGCAACCCACTCATTAGTCTGGTTGTTTTTACTGTTTCTATCAGGGGTTGTTTCAAATAAACTTTCTAAATGTAAAATTACTTCATTAATCAACTTTAAAAGTAAAATGGATTGCAAAGACCCATGTCTGAAATCTGAGAATACAGTAAAAGGCATAAAAAGAAACAAAAAAAGAAAGTGCTTAAAATTTGCACTTAGAATTTGTTTTGGAGCTTGTTGAAATGATTCCTAAAAATTCATCTGGAAACATAAAAATAAGAAGGGGCCAAAAATATTTTTAAAAGAAAACTTATGTGGACAGACTTGAACTATAACACCAAATATTGAAACACATTGGGAAGCTATAATAACTACAATAATACAGGGCTGGCAGAGGAAGAGAAAAGTCAATGGAACAAAGCAGAGAAGCAGGGAATCATTTATTATCTGACAACGGTAGTTTCAGCTGTGAAGGGAGGGAGGAAGGCTTATGGACTTTGTGGTGGTAGAACCCTCCCTGACTATATAGAACAACAAGATGGATTAATAGTAAACGGTGGAAATCGAACCCTGAAATATAAGAAAGTGCATGGCATAGTGTATAAAGATTAAGAGGACTTTAGGTCAAAAGCAGGAGCAACAAGGCAGTATAAAACTGACTAAGCTATATCCAAAAAGAAGAGAACAAGGAAAATTCACACACTTATGAATGTCACTAAGCAACCCTAAGGAAACCAGATGCTGGGAGAAGGGGATGCCAGAGGTGGTCTACAAACGGGAAGTCTTTTTAAGACACTGAATGGCCTTAATAAACTATAGGAAATCAAGAAGTTAGAAAAAAAAAAAAAACAGTGCTGAGAGTAAGAACATATAAACACATACAATGGTGCAGCTCAGTGGCCAACCTGTTAGACAAGGCCGCACCACGTCTCTGCTGTTGTCAGTGAGAGGTAGACTGGGGTGTCTCAGAATGAGACAGAAATATAAATCAGTTCAGCTGCCTTAAAGGAAAATTAAAAAGTTAGTATCAAAAAGGGCATTAGATTAAAAACTTCTTCTTTGCCTTTAAGGTAACAGGTACCAATATTTTATTTGGCTAACACACAATGGGGACAAAAGACAGACATTACAAAAGTACAGTAGTAACTACAGTTTACTAAGAACCATTAAAATGGAAAAAAAAATAGAGGGGCTGGAGAGATGGCTCAACAGTTAAGAGCAGTGGCTGTTCTTTGAGAAGATCCAGGTTAGAGTCTCAGAACCCACATGGCAGCTCACAACCAACTGTAACTCCAGTTACAGGTGATTCAGCACCCTCTTTGGCTCCCTCCAGCCCCAGGCAAGCAACTGGTGCCCAGACTTACAGGCAGACAAAACACCCCACACAAAACAGAACCACAAGCAATCACCTCCCATACATCTACATATCTGATACACAATTTGCCCTTGGCAAGGAATTACAGCAGACTGTTCCTTTTCTCTGCCTGTGTGATCCCTCTGCCTCCTCTGGCTTATGAAACACAGTAGCTACCCTCAGTCTCTTTGAGGGATGAAAGGCTTTCTTCTGTTTGTTAAGGGTGCCACTTTGTATTTATTAATTGAACTGGACAACTTTCATTATGATTGACATCTAGATAGTTTTCAGTGATACCAATCCTTGAAAAAAGACTAAGCAATGTTCCATAGTTAGAGAGCCTGTAGCCAAAAGACAACTTACTACTATTTCATAGACAGGAAAGATGGCAGCAATAGGGGACTGAAAAACCACCACCCAAACAGGCTGAATTATGAAGCAGCAGGGGGAAGGACTGGGAGTGAAATTCTGACCAGTATTCAAGGAATTAAATCTGCATTTCCTGATGCAGACCAAGGACTGCATGTATACTGATTTCACGAGTATGGCATCTAAAGCCTGAATTTTTAAAGCAATGAGGTGAATTAGCAAATTTAAAAGGATTCCCCTCATTTTGACTCTAGCTCCCTTTCTGAGGAAAAATTCACAAGGGGGAAAACTTCAGCCTCTCAATGCTGAATGTACTATTAGGAGTGGCCTCTCCCTAAAGTCTGCAATGAAGGAAAAGTGCACACTTATTCCAGAGTTGCAGCCAACAATAACCTTTACATTCTGAACCCAGCTTAGGTAGATCGCTTGGATGATGTGTGTAAAAGTATTTAATACAAAGTACTGAATTTAGCTTTTCTTTTTCTCAACTTTCTTAAATGGTCTTAGGTCTATCAAATATAAATATTAGGCAGAACCACTCCTAAGTTTCTGTTTTCTTTTTATAGAGTGCTGGTTTTATAGCTCAGAGGTCAACTTCTGCTAAAACCTAGACAGAAAACATTTTCAGCTTCATAGTCCACATGGTGTTTGCTACAAATACCTCTAACTGTGCCATTAGCATGAAGACAAAAAACGAACAACAGATAAATGAGTGAGCATCACTGACATCCAATGAAACTTCATTTACTGAAACAGGTTACATGGCTATAGTCTGCTGACTCGTGCTACGCATCGCCTGGTGTTTTACCTACTAACATATATTGTGTTAATAAATCCTATGAGATTAGTTTTATAATACTTCTTTTTAAAAAAAAAACATGGATATTAGGAAGAAAGGTCAAATAAGACTGTGAAAGGGCAATTATTATTAAATTTAGATAAAGGATACATGGGGTTCACTATAATTTAAGGCATCTGAAAATGTCCAAATTCATAGTTAAAAAATACAAGTAAATGAATTTAGTCCCACAGGAAAAAAAAATTAAACATCACCTTATCATAAAGTACATACTTAATGTTTTAAATATAATTAGTGTAACGTAGCAAAAGTTTACTAACAAAAAGTCTATTAAACTTTAATGAAAAACTTAAGCAAGTATACAAATATATAAACTGTAAAGCATTCCACAATTTAAAATGCAAGCAGGCTCACAAAATTCAACTTCTAAATTAGTGTTTATTCCCATCTTAGCAATCACAAGTATTATCAATTTTTGGTTTTAGAACATAATTTTTATAAGAAATAGATTATATTCACATATAAGTTTACAATTTTTTCAAATGAAAGCATAAATTTTTATTTTTCAGTTTTAAATTTTAAGAACTCAATATTTATAGATGACCATACAACCAAAGTTCTCAAAAAACCTCAATAATTAAGACTATGAAAGAGATGCTGAGAGCAGAAAGCCTGGACACTGTAACACTAATGCTTTCAATGGGATACTGTCTTTGAAGTATGTCTACTAAGAGACTATCAGATGTGATCAAACTTACCAAACTTTTGCTTTGAACTACCACTGTCACACAGTAGTGTCAACCCACTCTACAGGCTATCAATACACACATGAGGAAAGCATTTAACTTTCCACAGAAATATTCTATTAAACTGCCTGATTATTGGGAATTACTGGGAAATCACTAACGTGGCCTCTTCCTGTAGATACCTGTCTTCCTAAACCACCAGGAAAGAACTAATCGGCTACTCCACCCAATTAAGGTAAATTGTCTCACTCACTGCAAACTGAGGATAACCTTCAGGAAGAACTCTTAAACAAAGGTGCAATTTCTCAAAGATTCAATACATGTGATTTTTTTTTTTTTAGATTTTATTTATTTACTATGTATACAACATTCTGCTTCCATGTATATCTGCACACCAGAAGAGGGCACCAAATCTCATAATGGATGGTTGTGAGCTACCGTGTGGTTGCTGGGAATTGAACTCAGGACCTCTGCAAGAGCAGTCAGTGCTCTTAACCTCTGAGCCATCTCTCCAGCCCCACATGTGATTTTTTTTTTTAACGTTTTATGTTTCTTACAATAATCTGAAATGCAATGGTTCAAATATTATCAAACTTGATACTACTTTGAATTAGGCTCACAGAATTAGAACTGAGAAAAACTGCAAACTTGTCTGAAGACATTTTGACTATCTACAAAAAGGTGAGTTGGCACTCAGTTTTCAAATGTAGGGCACCACTGTAGCACTTCCATCCAATTCTGCCTGTCTAACATGCAACTATTTAAATGCTGAGATTATTTTACTTTTGTTTAAATACAAATTACATTAAGCTAAGGTTTATACATTTTACTTCAATTTCCTTCTCCAACATTAATCAATTTAAAATAGCAACAGTAATACTACATAAAGACATACTTACATCATGCTCTGCAATTCTCCAGCAAAGCTTATAGCCTTCCCTGTATTTCTTCCGCTGCTTGAAGTGGCAGTAGACATCGGGCTAGCTGCAGTATTATTCATCTAGAATAAAAGATAAAATAATACTTACACACATATTTAGCTATAAAAAGTACACAAGATACAGGAATTCTAAATTACTTCGAAAAGTATAGAAACCTTCAAATTTTGGATAATTTCAGTTCTGTATAAATCCAACTTTTTTCTACTTAATGTCTTTATTCAAATGAAAGGTAGTACAGTAGGAGAAAATTGTTTAGTCAGTTCAGGTACCAAATAATTGCCTATATGACTAGTGCACATTCAGTATCTACACTATAGTAATAGAACAGAAATACTCATTAAACTACTTTGGCATAGTTTGGTAGTTCTCCATAGTGTTGCACACCACCAGAATCTCATTAGCACTTATTCAGGGAGTGTCCAGTAGCTCCTTAACAAACATTCCCCCAGTTTTGCACAGACTTTTTTAAACAAAAGTCACTTTGGGAGCTAGAGAGTTGGCTATGGGAACCATGACCGTTTTGCAAGCATGAGGGCCTGAGTTCAGAATCCAGCACCCATGTAAAAGCTGGCACAGCAGCACACTCCTGTAACTCCAGCCCTGGGGGAGAGAAAGGCAAGTGGATCCTGGATGCTCTTTGGCCAGCCAGTTTAGCTAAAACACAGAGCTCTGAGTTTTGAGGAATGGCTTGGAGGACTGACCTATTCTGAATTAAAATGATAATAGATCTGTTGCTACAGTAAGCATGATACAACATACCTAATCGTTACTGAACACTTACACATCTGCTTTAGCATCTGCTTTAGATATTTTTCAAATAGAAATACTGTTTTGATAGTAAATAAAATAGTGTGAAGCAGCAACTGAGAAAGACAATCTATATCAACATCTGGCCTCCACATTTGACATACACACACAAACACAACACACATTCATGTGCACGTACGGGAACACACACACACACACACACACACACACACACACACACACTCACACACTTTGGGAGTACCAGGTAAGAGTCTTTTAAAAATTCTTATAACTATAATATACAAAATGAGAAAACCAGAGCCTAGAGTAGTTCTCGTTTGAACCAAAGCCTAAATTATAGTAGAAAATCAATCAACAGATCAGAATCTTAGGAGCAAATAATTGGTTCAATTTAAAATATGATATTTCCCCTATTAAATCAGGCTGATATATAATGAATGGCTAACCAATTCTAATCATGCCTTTTTATTTATTGTGCATGGCACGATATTAAATAATTAGTAAACAAGAACTAGTCAAAAGAACATAAAAGTCATCGAAGTAGGTAAAGTACCAACTACCATAAACACACAATAAATATTACTGCCTAAGTTTATGTAAACTTTGAATACCATCATTTTCCCTAAGTTGGAAATTAAAAATACTTTGCAGATTCTATGGAACAACATACAAATTTGAGAACACATGATAAAGCAGTTGAAAGAGGTCCAGGAAGAATCTAGTTGGTAAAGCAGCCTCTAGAATTGGTGCTGCACAAAGGGCTTGGTCATTCACACCACTGCAGAAGGCAAAGTCCAGGCAGAGAAAGGCTTTACTATGGTGAAACATCTGACCTGAAGATGGCAACCTAAAGGGTCACCTTGCTGGGGAGACTGAATTGAGCACAGTCTAGAGATTAACAGGAGACGGGAGACATCATCCTGGGGGATACTTCCCACAAGTGGAAACATGCAGCCCAATCCTGTGCATCGGCTCTCAGTGGCCTATCTATGGAAGATGCTTTCCTGTTCTGCACATCTCAGAGGCAGAACTTACTATCTCCTTGAACTGCAAGTCACTGGTTAGTTTCCCTCACACAGTCCCTAGCAATCACACAATGTCTACACAAGGTGGCTATCTCCTAAGGCCCTCTTGTGATCACCAGACTCACAGTAATGGAAGAAAACAGGTTTCGGCTGATTGCTGTAGAATGTGTGAGGAGAAGTCAAAGTTGTGCATAAAGATCTGATTTCAATGTTCAGCTTCAGAGGCAGACTATGGGGTTCACTATCCAGCTCTGCTACTTTGTTAGGGCTTTAAGGAAGGCACTTTACTTCTCTCTGCTTCCATTGTCTCATCTATAAAATGTGAAAACATTGTCTCAACTATAAAATGTGAACAAAAGCCCTACTGTTTAAAGGCGATTGTGGCAATTAGATGAACTCACAGAGCAAACAATTTGGGACAATCCTGATACAGGAAGTACACAATAAATGTTAGCTATTAAAATACAGATATTTAAAATACCCCCATCTTAATCTGACAAAAGCTTTTATATCAATTTAAAATACCTTTACTTAACACACTCCATCTTGCCTCTCCCTGTCCCTATACCCCATGATATGTGAGAAGAGCAGACCCTCTTCATTCCCCTCTTGCTCTGAACTATGGCTCTACAAACTCTTATCTCTTCTACACTCAGTTCACTCTCCATGTGGCTGTCAAGTTCATTTTCCTAATATGCCCTTTTAATCTAACCAAATGTGTGGAAGATGATAAAAATCACCATGGTAATCTAGAGCTCAGGTACTCAAGGACAGGGCACATGAAATTAAGCTAGAGAGAAAGTTACTGTACTCAACGCCCGAAATGGGCGTTGCCCGAAAAGGCAACATGACACAGAGATCTAGGGGGAACAGCACCTTAATTATGTCATAATAAATACGTAGACATTCTTATATGTAATTATATCTGAAATACTCCAATATTCCTTTGGCCTATGCTAAGCAGGCTAGAACTAAGTAGGGCACGGATCATGAGAGCTCTTAAAGACAAAAAAGTTACACTCAAACTGACTTAACACCCAAACACATTAAAGAGAGAGAGAGAGAGAGAGAGAGAGAGAGAGAGAGAGAAGAAAAAAGCTAATGCTAAGAAAAGCTATCACTTTTCTTTAAGCCTACATTTGTTCTGTTTTTCACAAAAACTTTTGAAATAATTACTATTTTTCTGCAGACAAAGTAAGGAAATAAACTACCTACACTGCCTTGTTCTATTTTGGTTTTAAGACAGCCTCATGTATTCCAAGTTGGCAATAAGCTTGATAATGCCGCCTCCCTGTCTCCACCTCCCATGTGCTGGGATTCCAGGCAACTCCAGCTTGAAACTTGGGTTAGGGGAAAACAAGGGTTACAGATTTCTACAAACAGACCAGCAAAAGACACAGCCTCCCTTTTGTAAGGACCCCCACCACCACCACCCCTGCGCTGCCCAGTGTTCCCAGTGGTTCCAAGACAAGTCCAAGAGGAAATACTAACCTCAAGGATTCTGTATTAACCCCAGCCTCCCAAAACCAGGATTTGAGTTGACCCATTTCAGATTGGATATACACACTACTTACTGTGTGTGGTTACAGCTAAAATGGAGTGAGACACCTCTCAAACAGTTGGTCTCTTTCTTCAGTTGCAAATCCAGTCACCCTGCTCTAACTCTCTTAAGAGAACATATTTCATAGAGCAAATTTACACTAAGGGTCAGGCCCTAGGTTTGATGCACAGCTTTCTTTCAGTTGTCTCCCTACTAGAAATGTTTCTATCAAGGGTATTCATGGGTAAGAGGTGAAGGGCTCCAATCCAAATGTATTACAACCACAATCAGCCTCTCACAGACAAGTTACTTAATTTCTAAATCAAACAGGTGAATAACTTTCTTCTTGACATGAAAAGCTGATAGTTTATTAGGCTCCAAAATAATTCTTTCCTGTACCCACATTTTGTTTGATGATTTAGATAATTACTTCTTTAGACATTAACTTCTTTACACATCAAAGTCCTATCATTCCGATGCTTTATTTCCTTTTTTCTGGACATAAAAAAAGGTCTGTTAAAAGCAGAAGCACTCAAGTCAATTTTCACTAATAAATACAGTTAACATGGAACTGAAAACCTACTGTAATCTTCTCAACGGGCTAATGTCCTGCAGTTGTTTCAGCTTTCCATGGGGATGCAGCTGCTTGCCATATTTTACAAAATGAATTCAGATGTGCACATTGAGACCCAGATCAGTTCAACATACCAGCTTAAATGTGAACCCCAGGAATAAGTTCATTTCTGATTAATACTATGATAATCTGATCACTAAACCAAATCTCCATTCTAGAAAATAAAAATCCGTGTTTATTTCACCTAGATGTGTGTGTGTGTGTGCATGTACATATGCATGCAAGATTGCTTTCATTAGAAAGTTTTGCTGCCAAACACAGAAAGTTCTAATTGTAGCAAAGGGTAAAGATAGATGTCACAAAAGTAAATCAAAAACACAGCGGCTATGTTACTGGGTATCCATTAAGGAACATACTTTTGTTGACAACATGACCAAAGAAGACATCCCATGACAAACATCTTTTATCATACACCTCAAAGAACTGAGACTCTCATCATTAGTTTCTGTAGCCTAGTAGTTATGGCAAAATCTGGGCTATAAGCCTATAAGCCAACCAGCAATTAAGAGACATAATGGAAATGACTAGCTCTTCTACTAATTACTGGCGAAGAACATTAAATCATGTGCTTACTCAAACATCTACAGAGTCTCAATCCTAATAATTCATATCCTAGACATCTCACATAATATAAATAAGTTTTTAAAATTAGAACAGTTTTGTAAAACCCCAAAGGCAGGGGGAAAAAAATCACAGGTAACTCAACATTAATACATGTTCCATTTTGTGTTTTATTGTTAAAAAAAAAATAAAGTTACATCATAATCTAAATTTTCCACTGATGTGAAGAACATCAAATGATCAATCACTACAAATGCAAAAATTCAAAAATTATATAAATTATCTATAAAATGTCTATAGCATGTAGAACAACACAAGTTCTCTAGACACAGGCAAAACATAGGCAGCTTCTTTGCCAGAAAATAGCACAGGTGGCCTCTAGTCCAAGTCCTGAGAGTCCTCTTTCCCATTTGAAATTTCATGAGCCAGGATTCGTTTCTTTCATTTCAGCATTCTGGTCTTCCATACTGCCACCCTTCCAGTCCTGTTTACAGTAGCCACACCCAACCTTCAGCCTGCAAACTACTGTAT